AGCTGCGCCGCGCCGCTCGTTTTCGCCACCGCTGAGTTCTGCAGACACCTTTGTTCAAACACTTACAATTTGCGGACTCTCCACCTTGCCGTTCTCTCACCTTTTTCCACCTGGGAATTGAGCTAACCGAAAACCAATGTCAGAGTGTGTGTGTTCTGCAGGTTCAAGCTACTTGGGCGATGCCTCTGAGTCCCAGATTTAATTGACCGGCTCTTTCCCTGAACCTTAATATACCTGGTCATGTTCCAGTTTATTGCTTAGCATTGGACGTTCAAACTCCTTTCCTCTGCTTTCAGCTAAAGTAGCCCAAAAACAGAGTTCGGCAGCACCCGAGCGTTAGCCCATTCTATATGCATCATCCCAAATCTCAATCACAGGTGATGGTTGCTGTAAGACATCTCCAAGATTGTGCCTCGGTGTACTCGTGCACACGGGCCAAAGCGATGAGCTCAAAAAGGGCACCAGCCATCATGTCAAGGCTAGGTTCAATCATAGACCTTAGACAGGCAGTAGAGATCATCGGAGTGGATTGCACAAACACACCAAGGCTGTCTGCGCTGTCTGTGCTGAAAGGTTCAATGGCACCAGCTCTCCTTATGCCAAGCGGCTCCAAGAGAAGAAGATTGGTCAGAGCAATACCTAGGGTGCCAGGGCCCATCCATGCACAGTTGTAAAGGCCGATGATGTATGTGACCTGAGTGAACAGTGAAAAGAGCTGCTCTCAAGACAGCAAAGTATCTAACGCTTTGGAAGGAAGGTCGAAAGGAGCAGAAAGGAGGACGGGAAAAAGAAGACAAGAACGCACGCGTTGCTTGTAATCCTTGAGCTGGAGCGGCGGAATTGTAGAAAGTCCACAAGTAATTCACGCGATTGCAAAGCCAGCGCTTCATCAACCGGTCATCTGTGAGATCGGCCTGCTTTGCAGAATAGTGAAGCTTGACTGTAACTGATAGAGCTCATAATGATTCTGCCCCGTGAGAGTCGTATGAGCCTTCAAGGAGCAATCGACAGCTTCCTCAGAACATGATTGTCTAGGTCTCTCACGGAACATAAAAATCACATACAGTAAACTCCACCCAATTGTAGAACAAAAACGCGGAAGCAGGTTAGCAGGATTGAGCTGCTACAAGCACCTGATGTTCATTCGAACTTGTAGCGTTTCCTGAGGTCATGGCAGCGTATTCCTGGGTCAAGCGAGTTTGCTCGCCAAAGCCGCGGACGACCACAGTGTTGGTCATAACCTGACAGCTCAAGGTGCTTCACGAGAAATGATGCATTCGTGCTTGGGTGGGTTGCCTGCACTCACTACACTCCCGCACATATACGTGGAAGTGGAGAACTCAAAAGGGCCTTTATACATGGAACTCCAGACACACATATTTCTATGTTAGTGTGTTTCTTTTAGCAAACATATTTGTTGCACTAAAATGGCAGTGCAAATCTTGCTGAGATCAAGCTGTTTGTGTTCTATGTCAGTGCTAATTCCTGCGTTTTTCTAGGTTCCGGATTTGACTAACATGTATGCCAATGTTTTTGTTGATGCTCGGCTTCTACGAAGAGGCAGAGAGTACCTGTCACTTCTTGATCTCCGTGCTGCCAGGAAACATCTGATAAATAGCTTTGTGTTCTGGAGGTCTGCGTCTTGAAACAGTACCGTAACGGTACGGTAGTGTTCTGATATCTGGTGTACAATGAAGCTACGACGTAGTAGAAGGGGAGCGACAAGAAAGTCATGGACAGCGGCATAATGGAATGGATGTATGCCAGTGGGACCATTGTCCTTAGACGAGGTCAGAAGTGCGATTCCTGCTTGATTTGCTGTGTCTGTGTCAATCAGCTGAGCGTCTGAAAGAGGATCATGATACTCCCAGAAATCTTCAAGAAGAGATAGAGGTCAATGGTAGTCATGTCCATTGTGATGCGATTCATGATGCGGCCCACTGGATGCTTGTCAAAGAATCGATCCTCAGCAACGGCAGCCAACCAAGCTGCACATGTCTTCACAGTCCAAAGTTCAAAGGTAATGGTGAGGCCAGTGGCAATCGGAGCATGAAGAAGCCGCTTGACAACATCGCTGTGGATTTTGGCAGAGATACGCAGGGTAAAGGCTGGCGAAATTCATAGTTGCGTTTCGTGTAACTTGGCTATGATGGTGGGCACCACAAGCATTGACAGAAGCAAACACCTGAACAGACTAGAACCTTTGGACTCACAGGAGGGACAAGGACATGGTGACACAATTTGATCACAGCTCTTTATTCAGGTGCTGCAGCCAGCGCCTGCTCCAAAGTACCAGCCGATGTACAGGAAGACAGTCCCCGCTGCAAGCCAGAACCTGTTCAGAAAACATGCCAGCTTGGCGCATGAATTGTCAAGCTCCCCATCTGAGGCGTTGACAGGTAGCCACTGAAGTATTTTCCAGTGGGCTGAGCGAATTTGCGGGACACACACATGGAAACAATACTCAATCTGCTTTCCCAGATCAGCATCTGCAAGTCCATGATATCAGCCAAGATGCTGCGTCAGCATTAATTGCCAAAGCGTTTGTGCAGTTGGCCAGCGAAATGTCGCAAAGCCTGGGGAATTCTTGCCATACAGGGACATGGACATCCTCCAGTTTTCATCCACAGGTGCCTGTCTAAGCCTAAGCTGGGGCACAAATAGAGGAAGAGCACCAAGGAGAAGAATATCATGGAATTTCCCAGGTTCCTTGGAATCCGGTCACTGGCTGCGAAAGTGAAGTCACAAATCCATCTCGTCGTTTTGGGAGACTTGATGACTCTATCCTAATATGTCCTAATCAATGTTACAGGCAAGAGCTGTTCAAAACAGGGATCGAACTCTTAACGAAATTGATTGTTTATTTTGGCTCCATGTCATACACAATATATAACTTCCAATATGTTACCGGCAGCTCCCTCCAACACAGCTTAATAACTTCCCCATGATGACGGAAAGCGCTGTAGCGCTTGGAAGTATTACCGAAAGGGAAGGGGTTACCGAAAGGGAAGGGGGGGGGGGGGGGGGGGGGGGGGGCAAGCTGATTTGCAGACCGTGGAGGCTTTTTTGGGCATGTTCGAAGGTGCAAAAAAACACTGTAATTTACATTAAAAAATTAGAGCGTATTTACCTTCAAAAAGTTGCATTTTACCTGCAGGGGAGGCAATTTTTGAGGTTTATTTTGTTCTCCGGCATTCAAAGGCTTTGAAGGGCAATGTGCATAAAACACTGGTAAAAACCATGAAAAATGAGGTCTGACAAGTGTAAGGAAGACGTTTTTGAGAGCTTCGAATTTGTGTTTTGTTTGTGTATGAAAGCTTGCTCCGGACGAACACACCCAGGATGTCAATAATGCAGTATGCCCCAGGCGGCATAGCCAGAATCGCGAACGTTTGGACAAGTGTAAGGAAGGTGTTTTTGAGAGCTTTCGTTTGCTTATGAAAGCTTGCTCCAGTGGGTGATCAAATTTAGAGCATGTTTCACCCTTGGGCAGGTTGTCTTTTGCATAGTAGTGTGCACAAAACACCATAAAACTATGAAAAACGAGGTCCGACAAGTGTAAGAAAGGTGGTTTTGACAGTGTTTGTTTGTCGTTTTTGTTGCTTACGCAAGCTTGCTCCAATGGGCGAGCAAATTTGGGCATGTTTGTGCCAATCTTCGGCGATCTTGGTGCATTCTTACGGCATATCCTCCTCCATGTTGGCACGTTTCGCCAAATGTTGGGGCTCTGGGGCTCTCTTGAGGCTTCTCGTGGGGGTATGTTGGAGGTGATTGCTATGCTGAAGGTTTTGCTACTGTTATTTTATTTTTTTGCGGTAAAAACCATGACAGACTTAGGTCCGACAAGTATAAGGTTACTTTTTGTTGAGGCATGGTTGTTTTGCTGCCAGTCTGCGGCTATCTTGGGGCATCTCCCTTATCATATTGGCAATTTTCACCCATTGTTCACAAAACATGTTGTGGGCTCTGTTGGGGATGTGGAGCTCCTGCTCCGCTTTCCGTGTTTTTCCGAACTGGTTTGCAAGGCTTGAGGCAATATGTTGAAGTCAACGAAACACAGTAAAATACAGCAAAAAATAAGATGTTTTTGCATCATTAATGCAATGTGTTTTGACAAAACACGTCAACACTTTTCACAAGGGCATCGGATACACAAATGATAGACAAAATGCTAAAAAAGTCAAGGGCATTCCACAGCACCACTTGCATCACTAAGAGATGCATGGAAGGCACAAAGAGCACAGAAGACGGAAACTAAGCAAATCAACTTATGATGATAATGTTTTGACACCAAGGCCCACAAGAAAACACAAAGAGCACAGAATGGACACAAGCAAGGCAAACCCTTTTGAAAAGAATGGAAAGCACCTGGGAAAATTGACACGGCAACCCCAAAAGTATGAAACCACGCTTTTGGGCAGACAACGCACTGGATCAAGGCTAACCTGCTTGAGAAGAGGCGAAAACAAGGCAAGCCAGCTCAAAAATACGAAGCCAACAACACGAAAATCACATTGGGGCCTGGAGCCAGTCTTTTAGCAACAAGGCTCACAAAGACAAAGAACCAAGGGTAACCCATTTCTGGTGGCCTGGACAATGTCAATGAGCAAAAAAAATGTACGGAGGCTGCAAAAAGTGGACGTTGCAGAAAAACAAACGTCGTCGAAAACCGTCGAAAGCAGTCGAAGTCCGTCGAAGTCCATCGAAATCCGTCGAAATCCGTGGAAAAGTGCTGGCTTTGGACGTTGCAACAATGATTTGGCGAGTTTGCAAAACGTGCGGCCTTTTTTTGGCATGTTCGAAGGTCCATAAAACACTGTAATTTACAGTAAAATTTACAGTAAAAAGTGGCTTTGGGTGGGTTTGTGTTGAGCTTATTTACCTTCAAAAAGTTGCATTTTACCTGCACGGGAGGCAATTTTTGAGGTGTATCTTGTTATCCCGCAATCGAAGGCTTTGAAGTGCAATGTGCATAAAACACAATTAAGAAAAAAACAATTAAAACATGAAGTCCCACAAGTGTAAGGAAGGTGTTTTTGAGAGCTTCTTTTTGTCCTTTGTTTGCGTATGAAAGCTTGCTCCGGACGAGCACACCCAGGATGTCAATACTGCAGTCTTCCCTGGGAGCATAACCAGCATCGCAAACGTTTGGACAAGTGTAGTAGGGAATATGTTTTTGAGAGCTTTATTTTCGTCTTTTGTTTGCTTATGAAAGCTTGCTCCAGTGGGTAGTCGGTGATCAAAATTAGGGCATGTTTGTACCAGTCTTGGACGATCTTGGTGCATTCCTGGGGCATATCCTTTTCAAAAGTCCATCTTGGCACGTTTCGCCCAATGTTGGGGCTCTCTTGAGCCTTTTCGTGGAGGTATGCTGGAAGTGATTGGGGCCGTGGGGTCTAGATCAGGGCTATGTTGAAGGCTTTGCTGCTGTTATGTTTATTTTTTTGCGGCCATGTTGGTCCACTTGGCTGCTTTTCCTCTGCTGCTTGACTTGGGCAGGTGGTCTTTTGCGTAGTGTGCGCAAAGCGCCGTAAAAACACTAAAAAAATGAGGTCCGACAAGTGTAAGAAAGGTGGTTTTGACAGTTGTCTTTCTTGTTTTTGTTGCTTTGTCTTATGAAAGCTTGCTCCAATGGGCGGTCAAATTTGGGGCATGTTTGTGCCAATCTTCGGCGATCTTGGTGCATTCTCCATGTTGGCACGTTTCGTGAAATGTTGGGGCTCTCTTGAGGCTTCTCGTAGGGGTATGTTGGAGGTGATTGGGCCGGTGGGATCTATGTTGAAGGCTTTGCCGCTGTTATTTTACTTTTTTGCGGCGATGTTGGTCCACTTGGCTGCTTTTTCTCTGCCGTTTGACTTGGGCAGGTAGTCTTCTGCGTAGTGTGCGTAAAACACCGTAAAATAACAATGAAAAAATGAGGTCCGACTACTCTGCAGCAATAAAATGCTGCTGCTCCGCTTTCCGTGTTTTGCCGAACTGGTTTGCAGAGTCTCCGCCATTTTCCAATGGCAATATAGGAGCTGGCCATGTCCCAGCTTGGTCGACCTGGCAGGGTTTGTGCGCAACATGTCGGCAGGACCGATTTCATCTGATTTCTCTGGCTTTGTCTGGCATGCCCCCTGCCTTCAGTTTCGCCTCAGTTTTCGCAACACCAAATCAAGGTTCACTGCTTCAAGTTCCTCCCAGTAGCATCCTTGCTCCTAGTAGCGATGCCAGGAGCCCCTAGTAGCGTCCTTGCTCCTAGTAGCGATGCCCCTAGTAGCGTCCTTGTTCCTAGTCGCGGCCGACAAGTCATTGCAAACGTTGCAAGACATCTTGCAGCTCCAGGGGCTATCGCGCAGGCTTGTGGCCGGGACTAACTGGGATGAGATGCCGGATGGGCGCTGCTGCCCCTTCTCCTTCTGGGTGCCAATGGATGCGATTTCAGTTGTCTCCTGAAAGCCCACAACACCCTCTGGTGGACTGATACATCATGAGACCCTTGACACGTGTTGGTCCAAGATCAAATTTTGCGACAAAGAAAGCTCGCATTTTTCCCAGCTTCATCTCTGGCCCTGAGGACCAATCAACAAGGAGAAAAACACAGAAGCGGAGCAATCAGTCAGGTCAGGTGACCCAAAAACGCTGCGCCGGTTGCGATACTATGTCAGCTCAGAGCTGGAAGCTTGGAGTCGACTTTGAAATCTCCACCTCCTCTTCATTCATGTCTGCACTGATGGACGCAAACAAAGGCGTTGAGAGATATCGCTCACCGGTGTCTGCCAACATTGCTACCAGCACAGAGCCCTCTGGAGCTTTCTTTGCCATCTCAACAGCCGCATACATCGATGCACCTCCCGAGATGCCTGTAAAGATTCCCTGGGTTTTTGCCAGTTGCTGAGACATTTGGATTGCTGCATCGCCTGGAATTGGTACAAACTCATCGTAACCAGTGCTTGCAATGCCAGCCTCAGTGATCAAGGGAATGAAATCCGGTGTCCATCCTTGGATTGGGTGTGGCTTGAAGGCTGGGTGGGAGCCAGTGGCAGAGCCGTCAGGATTACGTTCGCTCTTTTGGCCAGAGGCCACCAGCGGAGCATCTGCAGGCTCACCCAAGCAGATCTTGATGTCTGGACGTTTCTCTTTCAAAGCCTTGCCAGCACCACTGAAAGTGCCACCAGTGCCATAGCCCAAGACATAATAATCCAACTTCATGCCCTCAAAATCGTTCAGTATCTCCTGGGACCGACGCTGTTGCTAGTTAAACCTGCCTCAGAGGTGGACACATCACAAACACAAAAATTTCAGTCTCCTGACCCGTGGTGTCGTAATGGAATTTCGCATTGGCCTCGTTCTCAAACTGGCGGCACAGAAACCTGACCACAAAGCACTTCTGACGCCGGGGGAGTCTTGCCAAGAGAGCAGGAATGAAATAAGACAAAGAATGCCATGCTGGTGCCGAGAGGCCAACCATGCTTCTCCGCAAGCTCTTTTGCTTTTGCCACCATGCCACTGCCCTTGCCAGCTTTGGGCGTGATGATCACCTGGCTATGGCTGACAAGTCTCCACACCAACTGGGATGCTGCAATCACAAGCCGTTGCGTTGCGATCTTCAATTTTCAGTTTTGACATGAATTTCTTTCTCAAAGCTTGCTGATTCGTAAGTTGAGAGTTAGCAAATAGGTCCTAGATGGGTGAAACAATAAATCAAACATGTGCGAAACATCTGCCGTTAATCCCTTTCTTGTGATACCGCACCATCTTGCACCTTGGCCCCAAGGAATCGCATGAGCTTGCGTCGTTCAATGGAAAAGGGCTCCGCCATGGTAATGACACACTTGTAGCCTCGCTGGGCACACAGCATGGCCACTGCAATCCCGGTGTTCCCAGAAGTCGCTTCGACGACGGTGTCCCCAGGCTTCAGCTTCCCAGTCCTCTCGGCATCCTCAATGATGGCACAGGCCAGCCGATCTTTCACAGAGCTCAGTGGGTTGAAGTATTCCAACTTGGCGTAGATTGTCCGCCCTTTGGGGCAAATTGCGTCCGAGATCTTTACGCAGGGCGTGTTGCCCACTGTCTCGGTGATGTTTTCATAGACCCGGCCACGGCCCTTCCCACGGTCGCTCACACCCGTGGGCGAAGGGCTTGAGACAAGCCCAGCAAAGCAGGACATGTTCCACTGGATGTCGCAATGTCAGAGGCAACTTGGGTGCTAAGTAATTAGCTACAGTGAAGCCAAAATGGCGAAACAACAGAACTCAAGCCAACATGCTGTAGAATAAATAGATATGACACTGACCAAATAGACACAAAAACATTAACAAAGAAATGAGAAGAGGAAACGCGTCCTCCTCCTCCTCGTCACTGCAGCTGCGCTGCAGCGTCTTGAACTCTTCCTTGGCACATTTTGGAAGAATGGAAGGTGGACCTGTAAGCTGTACAATCTTCCAGTGCCAGCGCTAAGGTGGCCGCCGTTTCAGCAACCTGCACTTGGTTATATAGTAAGTAATACAATATAGTCAATAAATCTCACGAACGTGCACAGTCTTTCCGCTCAGAGGTACGTAGTTTCTCCGTCAAGTCCTATTCAGTGTCCTGCCTCTGATGGCGTTCCACCTGTGACAATGCGCCCATTGGACATGACCTCAGCAGCAGCCAGTTTCTTTTGAAAGCTTGCTGCTTCTTTATCGGATGTTTAAAGACAGCACGCCTTTGCAGGAAGCGCCCGGATATGGACAAAAGGACTTGCTGCCAAGGCTCATAAACCTTGTCAAATTTGCGCAGTCGTTCCTCTGCTGCTTCTACATTTCAGTCTGGATCAAGCAGACCACTAAGCAGTGACAGAAACAATTTGAGTACTACCAAGACCCCATCGGGACCCGCAGACCCAAGTTCTTTCCCAGTTGAGCAAACACATTCTGAGCATATCCGTGCCGGTGATGGTGGCAAGCAGCATAGTGAATAGTGGAATGGTCTTTGGTGCCTCTGGTGTCTAGGGCCTTCCTTGACTATTCAATTCAGAGCAGGAGTCCATCTCGGGCTGCAGTGCAACAATGCGAGCGCGGTCTTGGAGCAGTGGGCCACAAAGCAGCTCCTGATCTGGAGCCAGAATATCCCAAGGACCCCACACAAGGCACATTCTATGAGCAAACCCAGTGGTCAAGCATATTTTAAAGTAAATAAGCTTGCACCAAAACAATGACCCGCCTCCAAGATCCATGAGCCAGTTGGAGCATCTACAGACCCGAAAGGGTCCTCAGACTGGTCTTGTGTTCCACCGACACGTTGACACACTGCTAATGGAGGATTATATACAAATCTCATTTGTCTATAGAGTCTACTCCTAAGGTCCTAATCGTACAAATCACTGAAATGAATTCTATCACAATTGCTGCACAGCTTCGTCCAAGAGCAAAAGTTCCTCAGTTTGAGCAGTGGAATTGACATTCATGCCAGACTCGTGAGAAGCAAGCACAACCCAGCACAATCATCAAATTCTCTGCTAGGGAATGACAAGGTGCCGCCTTTGGATTGTAGGCGGCCCGTGCCAAAGCCACCCGGGCCTTTTGACCTCCAGACAGGCTGATACCCCGAGCTCCAATAAAGGCATGATCGCCTCCTGACGGCGTACGAGCGTCCCACTTCAACCTACTTCCCCGAAACACAACTGTTGGCGTTTTGCTGGCCTGGCAAGAGCCGCAAGTCGCTCTCCAACCCTGAGGCAGAGATGGCCTTCCAGTAGCGAGCCTGACATTGTTTCATTGCTCCAAACTCCAGAGGTATTCACAAAATGTAAACATCACAATCATCACAAAGACGTGCAACCACAAGCCGTCCTCATCAAAGGGGCAGCCAAATACAATGTTTTCTCGGATGGTTCCCTCTGCGATGTGAGGAACTTGGGCACCTCAGCGCAAAAGGTCGCCGCAAATCCCTTTAGCCCTGCAGTCTCTAAAGCTCACTTTTGAGCTCCATGCAGTATCCGGCCACATGAGGTCTTGATAAAAATGCATGTTCTGCCTCAGAACTAAATATTTCCCACTGTCAGTGGTGTGAAAACTCCCAGCTGACAAACACACTGCAACGTGCAGCTTCTTGACTTTAAGTTTTTAAGTATGGCTTTCCAAATGGGACTCTGACCTCCACTGGATAAAGCTCTCCCAACGAAGCCTCCAAAAGTGTGCTCTTCCTGGGTTTTTCGGAGTGCATGGACTCGAGAAGAAACCAGGCATGACATACCCAGCCCAGTTCTTTCTATGTTATCTTTTTTCACTGGTGTCATTGCCAAGTCTAGGCCCGACTTTTCTGTAGGTAGCTACGGTATGCTACAATCGCTTGCTTGTCATGCCTTGCTGTGACTGCCTTATTCTGCCCAGTGGCCCAGAGCCAACAGAGCCAACAATTGCAACCATCTCCTCAGTCGGCACAGCATTCAACTCCAAAGCCTCTGAAGTGCCAGAAAACTCAAACACAACAGGAACCGCTCAGTGAGCCATGTGAGCTTCTCATTCCAAGGTGCCCCAGGCTTGACCTCCAAAGAGATGTCGTGAAGCACCTTTCTCCCCCAGCTGCGTGCTGCAAGTGTTACTGTTGGCCCTTTGCACTCACTCGAGTCTAAGTCTATATCTAAGCCTCTTGATGGTCCAAGCCACCTATATACCTATATATATATACCCACAGTCCCACGGAAAACTTGGGTAAATACAGCATCGGCCGCAACAAGGTGATTGAGACAACCTATGCTGCCTGAAATAGGAGTGCGGCTTGGGATCCCAGAGTGTATAAGAAACCGAAGCAACGTGCTTTTGGTCTTTGGCCAAGCGGCTGTTGGAGCCTCAGTTTCACGACTGAACTTGTAGCTGCCTTTCAGTTGAAAGCTGCGAGGTGAACCTCAACGGCGGCAGTACCCACTTGCACACATAGTACTACGCCACTACGCATCTGCACCCCAACCTCCAGAGCGTGGCCACACATCAACCCAGCTTGGCTCACTGATTCCTGTTCTCCGGATGCTGTTTGAAGCACACAATGGGCACAAAGAAAAAGCCAAAAGCGGTTGCCGGGGCGACATGATCCCTCTCCTGGCAACACGGGTGCTTCTTCCAAGTGGAGGAATGCTTGAATCCGGGCCTCAACAATGCTAGCAGCTGCTAGCATGAAAGCATAAAGAAAGCCGATGTCATGTCAAGTTGCCCTCCGTGCAGGTCACTGGGCCCTGAACAGCGCTGATTCGGATTGTGACCAATTTCTGCAAACCATTCGATAGGAGGGAACTTTCTTGCCTGCGCAAAACTTGCGTCACAAGAGAAAGCAAAGTTGCAAAAAATCAAGGCATTGATTTGGTCCAGGGTGCCGGAGGGATGCCAAGATCTGGAGGCAAGCAAAAATGGATGCCAGATCATGCCGTCCGTACCTCGGGCTCTGTTTGAAAGAAAGGCAAGGCTTTGCAATGCACAATGTGCTCAACGGGCAAGACTGTCCGGCCGTACACAGTGATTGGTGTGGTTTGCTTCGCACGCAATCAGTGCGGCCCGTCATGGGCTCTTTCCGAACTCTTTCCTTAACCTGGTGACATTGTTGATCATGGCAAACCGTGTCTTACAGTGTATCCTACCTCGCTGGCCAAGCACGGAATTCTCGTAAGAATTCAAGTTTCACATTGACATAGCCGAAACAACAGCCTGGTCGGACCTATTGGGCGCTGGCCATCTAGAGATCTACACCAGCATCTGAAACCAGTCTTGACCCAAAATAGCTAGCTGGTGCCCCTGGTTGTGCAGCCAGGCTGCAGGCGAATGAAGCCATAAAGCCCCGCACAGGTCAACACCCTGCGAAGCGGCTTTCAATATCAGACTCTAAGGCCTTTAAGGCACTGAACACTGAACTCACTAAAAGTATCAATCTGCAGGCAAAACAACAAAGCCCCGAGCATGCCTCGGAAAAATGTTGAACAACGCCACGAAGTTACTGCCTCGAGTCACCGATCTTTGCTCATGTATGTCGGCCTTCGAGCTGTGTCTACTTGCCTGTTCCAACGGCGATTTCAAGATTTTCAAGCTCAGGTAGCTCTGCACCATTCTATGTGTCTCTCTATGTCTCTCCTCTATCTCTCATTCTCTCTCTATCTATCCATCTATCCAAGTAGATTGATATATTATATATTTATCTTCATTATCCTTCTCTCTAAAAGTCGCGTGAGCGCGTTGCAACGCCAAGGTGCACAGCTTGAAGTATTGGTTCAAGAACGAGAGCTCGCGGGTTCGAAGCTTTCTGATCTGATCCTATGGCGGTGACCAAGGTGCCAAGAAGCCGCTATTTTTGTATAGGAGCAAGGACGCTACTAGGGGCTCCTGGCCTTGCTACTAGGAGCAAGAGGCTATGGCATCGCTACTAGGAGCATTCTTACTGCTAGTAACAAGAAGCTACTAGGGGCTCCTGGCCTTACTCTAGGAGCAAGAAGCTACTAGGAGCAAAGGGCATCGCTACTAGGAGCATGGACGCTACTAGGTCAACGTTCCATTCAAAGGCGGGAAACGGTGTTGCCGTGCACAGTGTCTGGAGACATGTCCTTCCCCCTCTCTGAGTGGTTCCCGTCTTTTGCATCAAGCTTAACGGTTCACCAAAATCTTGCAATGGCCTCCATGGCAGCTTCCCAGGCATAGCACTTCACTATCCGAATGCCCTTCATGATCTCTCTGATCATGTAGATTCCTGATATGCATCCATGTCCACACCACATCTCACCAGCCAACAATCCAAGCTGAGCCAAGCTGCTTTTGTCCATAACATCTTGCAGCTGCATCATGTTGATACCCATGGCCCCGCTCAGAATCAAGGACAGCGTCAAGGCTGCAGGGCAACAATAAACATCGGATGCAGTCAAACTGCTCTCATTTTGGGTGAGGGCTGCAATGCCAAAAAAATGAGAAGTTAATTGTCAAACACGTCAACGATCATGAATCTCAGAGTCTTCATTCATAGGAAAACCGAGAGTGGTATTCACACCGTGAACTTTCGCGCACGTTCAGGCACCAAGCATGTGCCTGGAATAGCCACCGCCAAACAAAACAACGTCGCCAAACGCAGCTTTACAGCCTCAGATGAAAATTTTCAATTGTGTGCCGCACATGAGTGTATTGCGGACAAACCAGGAGGACGTGATAACAAAGGACAGATTGCCAAATAAAAGCAAGGTGCCATCATTATCAGCAGCAGTGCCACTGTCACGGTTGCGTTGGCAGTCATAGCAAAGCTGAAGACTAGCCTGGGGAATGGATTAGAAAGACCCTGCTCAACTGTACAAACCTCTACCAACTCATTCGTGAATACCCTACCAACTTCCATCAATCACAAGCGCCCTGGTCACATCTTAGACCTATCGTTTGAATGAACACGCTTGTGCTCAAAAGGGCAACCTTGACTTCAATCACGATTCTCAACTTCCAAGCCAAACTGCCCGTGAAAGTTTGCAATCAAATCATTGTTGATGACCATCATGGCCTGAGCTCATTTCAAGCAACACTTGTGCTTCATTTTGCCTGCAGAACCATTCCACTTTCAACGCAAAAAATGGGCAAAGGGACTGACGTTCACTTTGCTATGCCAATGCCCACATTTTGCCCTCAGATTCTGCCATGAATCATTCGGCTTCCGCGTTGCCGGGGGTGGCGCAGGCTCCCCAGGCTTCTCATCGATCTGCTTGGTGTCAGAGGCCAACGCGGATGCAGGGAGACGTTGCGTTTTCTTAAACATTGTTGTGGCCTCAAAGGAAAGGAGATGACAGAGAAGCTCTTCAAAGTACAACGCATTGCAAACGAACCCTTTGCGAAACAAACCCGCCCGAAAATGGACGACTAAGTGGCTAACTAGCACACAATTGCTCAAACTGAGGCCAAGACTACACCGGCCGTGCTCTGATCAAATTTGATGGACAGGTTTGCCTCATACCTGGCGTGGATTTGTGGGTGACCTTTGGCATTAAGTGCGAGGGGGGGCCCGAGGTTTTTCATCACGGGACAGGACGTGACATGCAGCCAAGACACGAACAAAGTACGGCGAACAACTTAGGACATGCAGAGCATGAGTTCAACTCGCTTGATGCACTGATGTCACTAAGGAATGTCACAAAAATAGACCTACATGTACTACATAACAGGTCTTACCATGTCAGCAACCACTTTTCTTTAGGCTTTACTAAAGTAGTCTACGGCCCGCTCTATTTGCTTGTCTATCATCAGTATTCGCTTGTGAACGAGATAGGGCCCCCACATAAACGAGATACTTTTGCTTGATGACACTAAAGTAGTCTGAACGAGATAGTGTGATTTGCTACTAAAGTAGTCTGAACGAGATACTGTGACATGACCTCCTGCTTAAGTAGTCTAAATTAAATGAGATTGGGCCCCCACATAATAGATAATGTATTTGAGATTAGTACCAAATAAGTGCCGCCGCACATGTGTTGTTTGCAAACAGCAATGTGCTTGTGGAATGCAACTCAAAAAGTAGAACACGGGCATGGACCAAACTCGGACAGGTTATTATCTGTCTTTGCTAAGGGCTTCACCAAAGGCTGCACTGAAAATGCAACCTTGGCTGCACTGGCTCTAGGAGGACGGTGAATCCAACGAAAACGAAAGAGAGAGCAAGAGAGAAGCGAAAGGATTAGGAAGGAAAGGGACGAGCTTCAATAGATTGGTAAAGAAAGAAAACAACAAAAAATCCTGGAAACAAACCACACTGATGCATCAGATTTGTCAGACCGAGCTTCAATAGAGAACAAAATGGGCTGTGTCATATCAGGCAACTGCCCTCCGTTTTCTCTCACCTAAGTCTGGGCGCAAAGGTTTGTTTGGGGGGGAGCACGCGACGTTCCATGGGAGAGCATGACAGAATTCCCGCTGTGACAGTGATGCTAGTATCAGTAGCCATTCCAGAGTCTGGGGCAACGACGTGCGTCTGCAGCCAAAAAAAGTAATTCAAAGAATGCTGAATTAGGAACACCTGGTACACGTTTCCTTGGTATTACAGCACAACAATGCTTTTGACGTGCAAGCTTGACCCAACATTCCAAGTCAAGTGGTGATCTCTTTTAAGCACGCTGGCAGTGACAAAAGCTGATTGGTTGCAGGCGTGCTGCCCACGACAACATGGATGAACAGGAGGAGCTGAAACAGGGCCTCAGTATCATCACAAGCCAAACCTGCCCCACGCATTTTTCCCTTTTGTTGCAGGCGGGTGCCTGTCAGGACACTGACAAAGTTTAAAGCCTGGCCTGCACTTCAAAAACTTGAGGACACCTATTTGAGCCTATTTGCATAACTAATGACTAATGGAAGAAATGTTTGGCCGCACGGCTCAAATTCGAGCAATGCCAATTTCCAAACTCGAAAATACCAACAAGAGACAAGGGTGCAAAACAGCCCAAGTCACAATACGTTTGAATGTCCAAAGCCGAATCATCACCATGACAAAGCTTGCCTCCCGCGTTGGATGAATGGCCCATAATCGCACTGAAACAAGTTGTGGCGTAGCGCGGTGCCTGGTCACCAAACTTTGCGACCTCCTCGTTCCATAGGTCTTCAAAGCGATTGCCTGCATGGTATGCCTCAGGTGCCAAACGAGACCATCAGCTTCAGCATTTTTAGGCTCATGGTGGCTCATGGCCTGGAATTCAGGCGGATTCAACGGAGCCAAATCCTCTGGATTGCATTTGGACATTGCGCTGCTCCAGGAGGCACCTGGAAGATTGCATTGCTGCAGCATGGCCCAAGATTTGCGTGCATGCTGTAAAGTATATTATGTCTGTCTAAATATAATAGAGCGCACCAGTGATTCGGGGCTGAGCATGCTCGCACCAGAGCAACTGCAGCAACCACCCCACAAAAGAAGCCTTCCAAGTCCAGCTGCAGAGCCACTTTGAGCACACACGGGGTTCATAATCTCAGGCTCTGAGTCATTTAAGCCTAGCCTTTCGGCACCCTGAGGCAGGCCCCAAAACAATGCACACACGCCACTCAACATTGCTGGGAGCCAACTTGGCTCGGGAAAAAGTTCCCTTCGACAATCTAATCAGTGAGCTTTTCCTCTCAGGCGTTTGTGATCGTCTGCAGGTTGGTATCTGCTGGCTTGATTTTGCTGCGATGTTAAACCGTGGTCTCTGTCCAAAAGCCTCAGGTTTCAAAGTAGCCTGCGTCATGTGTCATTCTAGCTTTGGTGCGGGCAAGGGTTGTGAAATGCCATGAGCGGGAGGCAGTTTGCTGAAGCTTCATCGGACTTTACATTGTGTGTATATATATATATATGTGTGTGTGTGTGTGCATGTGCGTTGGAGTAGTGTTTGTGCGATGATTTGAACCTGCCAACTCATTGCTAGTTGAGTGCTAGGTACTGAAAATCTGAAAACCAAATATTGATGCTGAGCTTTGGATGGACAGGCTTCGGCCGGCCTAAACGTGCCACCATGGGATTGAGCCATGACCTCAGCCATGAGCAACCACAGTGCCTCCCCACCATTCCCCACTCCAAAAAATGCACTCAGCTACCGGCACGCAAAGCCAACTCAATGGACTTCTATTGTAGACCTCGTCCTCCAAGCAACTGTCCTGAGGATCGTCGATCAGCCAGCTTGCCAATGACAATGACACCGACCAACGTGGAAGGCAACAAGCTCCTGAGAAACCACTTCGAACTTATGTTTATCTTCCTTTGCTTTTTGCGAGCTCACCGTCATGTGGTAGTTGATTGAGACCTCAATGTTTGTGCACTCCCAAGGTTGACTGTCAGCAAGTAAGTATGATTCACCTCATCTCTTCTCAGAAGCTAAGCCCTCAGCAATAGAGAAGAGGTAGAGGCAAAGGTAGCATGACATAATGAGGGTCGGCCTCACGCTTCTTGTCTCCCGCAAGGCAGGGGCTGCCAGGATGGATTGCCTCCTTTTCTAGCTCTAAACTACAGTATATATATATATAAAGTACCTCTATATGTGTATATAAATATACTGTATGTATATATATATATATACATTTACCATATCTACCTCCTACTCTTACTATGTGGTTTACCAAGTGAGACAGGCATGCCCTGCTCAACAGCACGCTGGGCCTCAGATGCTCCCAATCCAAGAAGTAGAGCACTAACGAAGTCTGTGTGCTATGGACCGTCTTGTCCTTGATGTTGGTGAGTTCGTGCACGGTGCCAAGCCTCTGTACATGTGCAAAGCCGGTTTGAACGTTTGATGAGTTGTGCCGCATCGTCCATACACTTTTTGCGAGATAACAATTGGCGCCCGGGCTGTAGCAAGAGCGGCTTGGTCCCAGGAATGGGCAACAAGCCATCTGTGAAGCAGCTCTCATTTCGTAGCTGCCAACCTTGCTATATAGAGCAGATTCAAGTCGGAGAGTTGGGGAGTGCACGTTTCTGCCTTCAGCCCCCAAAACTGAAGATGCATTGGAGAAAAGGCTTACCTGGGCACGTGCATTCTAATTCTACAAAGTGCCAGGCACTACCACCAGCCTACACACGCAACACATCCAGCCTCCAAAGAAGTCTGCAAAAGGGACTGCTCCTGCAAAGCAGCCAAATCATGAGAGCAAACAATTGTGCGGATTTCTTGGCACGGCATCTCACGAATGCTCTGTCCTCTGGCACTGCCTCTTCAGATACTTGGGCTATTTCAGGCCGAATCGTCTAGGCCAAACTCAAACTTCTGTTTCACATTCACAAAATGTGCAGCTCCATTTGCACAATCCAGCTCTTTCAAATTGCTCGAGGGTGTAGCATTCCGGGATTTGCTGGAGAACTGCAAGGATGTTTGGAGCAGCTGCACGTCCAACAGCTTTGCCTCCTCCTGGTCACATGCCATCATACAGTCTTCGATCAGATTAAGTTGGAGGCCAATTGAAGACTACAAAGTAGGCCGTCTTCATTTGTAGACTCCAACACTAATTACCAGTCATCCCAGCCTGCACTTGCCTGACCAACAAATTTCTTCAACCCGCAACAGTTCAAGCCGGTTTTTATCTTGATAGCGTTTGGAGACATTTGCAAAATAGCAGCGAAACTTCCTCACTCTCACAATCATCAGCGTCCAAAGCGGCCGCACAAATGAGGGCCAAAAGCAATTTCTGTACCTTGATGCAGGCTGGCGGCGCAGCGGACAGTCACAGAATTTTCTTGGTGCAGCCAAAGTTCAAGCATTGAGCTTTATATGGAAGGTGCTTGCACTTCGGGCGGGATTTCCAGGAGCAAGCCTAAGTTCTGACCAGTCCGGTAAATGAAACAACCACCCCTCCAGAACTTGATATGGAGATGACCTCACGGGAATGGACAGAATCATTCCGAGGTCATGGCAGCGCCGCCTCTATTCGGCACAGATCTTGAACCCAAAAAAGCAGGTGAACGACGCAAATAGCGTGCTTATTCTTGCAGTTCATGTCGCTTTTGACGCCTTTCCCTTTGCATCAGAATTGCCACAATGAGCAAAGATTTGGATCCTCACACGATCCTGATTTATATGAATTTGGACAGCTGAGACGATGGAGCACTGAGCACTGAGTAGCGTGCTGGTTCAATCTGCAGTCCACCGATGTTACACAAATTCTGCAATACCAACAAAATTGGCTCTGTAGGCTGGAAGCACTCAATTTTCACCGATATTGAGCCAGTTCGCGGCATCAGGAAGGCTTCCTGAGCAAATACACCAGCATTCAAACAATCAACGATGATCGAACGAAACCGCAAGGAAACCAAATTAGCCGTGCTGCTGCTGCAACTGCATCTGCTGCTGCTTCTCTTGAAAGCGCAAGGACACACGCCTCCACATCGAATCAACTGTTTCTTGAGCGCGATTTTTGGCGAGCATATTTGCAACCAGTTGGAAGCAGACCGACTGTGGCCCCAACTGGCTGAATGACATGAACTTCTGTACCTGACAGCAGCCAAGCGCGTGAAACAATTGTAAGTGGATGAAGCTAGCCTTCTGAACTGAATATATTGTTTTGTGGTTGGCAGGAGCGTTGTTCGTGTCCAACCATTTTACATCCCAGGCCATCTCGTCTTCTCATGTCATCTACAAGCCGCTAAGTCCATCGGCAAATCCCACCACTGATTTCCAAAAAAATCACTCGGGCACTCTGGTTTCTGCGTTTTTCGTGTGACATGAAGTGGTTGATGGGAACTCATTTTGCTGGTGGCGGCAACCCGTCTGAGATGCACACACACCTGGTAACGCATTGCTCCTCAGAACCTTCCAAAGCCTGCAGCCAGAATGTTAGTACAAATGTATTGCACACCATCGCCGCAAAACAATCTGATTCTACGGCCTTTGTGCGGAAGCTTGTGATGCATTCATTGAAGCACTTCTCCACCAAGTTGTTGTATGTGTTCATCATCTCCTGCCAACGCCATCAAATAAGAACAACATTCCATTCAAGCTGGCAACGTGCTTGCACTTTCTAACACTTCTCCTGCATTTGCATCTCGTTGAGGGCTTGCATCACCTGCATCTGGTCCCGTTGGGACAACTGATCCATGCCTGCCCAGGCTCGAACACAGGAGAAACTATGGAAAATATGTTAGGTTTGTCTCTTTGACCAGCCCCACGCCCAGCCTGGCAAAGCCATGGTTGGCCAACCTATTCTCTGGCTAACTACGCCTGGTTTCTATGTGGCCAAAATGACCGGTGCAGGCCTTGAAACGGAACCTCCCTGACTCCTTGCATCCCGAGGCAAAAATGCCGCCAAGAACACAGCATGCCGAAGGCGCAGTTCATGATTGCGCGCCACATTATACACCCAACGTTCTTGGACTGACACCCCGATACGTGTAGTTCAATTGGGCGATGAAGGGCAAAACGGCATAAGAACTGTGATACACAAGAGCGCTGTCAAAGGATTGTTTTTTTGTGTGTTGTATTTTATATACATGCAGTACCGGAAACCATTTTGTGGGGTGCCCAAAGCTGTTGCGGAGGACTATGCTTTCAGGGCCGGATTGAAACAGAATGCCGGGCGTTCACGGCAGCACTTGTTCTGCTGAGTTTATGCTGCCATGGTCGGGCACGAAAGAGCTTGATGGTCGGGCTGGTTCCTGGGTGCGCTGGATCATTTTCAGAGTGAGAGTTTCATTATGTCATTGGGGTTGATGACAAAATTGTGTCAATTGTGTGCTATACTGCTTTTTGCTGCAGCACATTGCGAAAAACCGGGAGGCGAAACTGGATGAGCTGGTGTGCGCCGACGGGGCGGTTCGGCAGCAACGGAGTAAGCTGCGGAGTATCTGGAGGTGGGTGAAACCTCCAGTGAAAAAGAATGGTCTGACAAGGTGGCCTGAAAGACCGATGGAAAACTAACACCCACTAACAAAAGTGATACATGGTGGTCTGCAGCACACAATCAAGCTAACACATATCGCGCTGCAACAGGAACAACGGAAATTGAAAATAAATCGCTGCACTCACCAACCCACCGGATTCAGAAGGTGGCCCTCCGGAGGCTTCGGAGCAGAACAAGAACAGCCCAGCGGCCGATGGCCCAAGGTGGGATTGCGAAAGCGGCAGCGATACACCATGGGTTGATGCGGGTGGTGGCACCGGACCTTAGCCTTAGTTTTCTCTCCCGCAACAGTGTCTGCGCTACGAAGAGCCAACGGCCTTGTACACGGACGGCGCCCGATCCACGCGGAGGGGGGACACCAGGTGACGTCGCAGCACAGAGCTTTGCCAAGGCGGGTGGCGCCGTAGGCGACGAAGTCAAGGCGGCGGCGGTCGCCCTGGCTGACCCCAAGCGTGCTGGTGTGGGCAAGCCATTGTCGAGCAACGACCCGCCCATTCCCGTCGAAGGCTTCCCGACTCACCCGCACCCAGGTTTGTTCGAGGATCGGCGCCGGGGGGCAAGGAGGACTGATCGGGGGCACATGGCCCGGTGATCCCGTAGCTGCCGAAGAGGCGGCCACAACCCGGCTTCGCCGGGTCACCTGCAAGGGGGTCAGGGTGAGCCCCGGTTCGCCGGGGACTGCGAGCGAGGGCCCAAGTCGTGCATGTTTGTTGGCTCTTGGCCTGCTCGGTTCCAAACCCTGGCTTGAGAGCCTGCTCGGGACTAAAGATTGGTAGATCAATGTCTAACACCCCCCCCCCCCCCCCCCCCCCCCCCATGTGATGATTCATTGATAAATCAATTGTTATATTGTTTTGCCCCCCCCATCACACCCCCCTCCATGCACTCCCCTCCCCGTCCCCTCCCCCTCGCCAGCACAACTAGCATTCTGGACACGCCATCGCACCATAAGGTGAAGTCATGCGCTTAGCAATGCAGTACGACGCGGGCCGAACCCTGCACAATGAGGTTTCGCAATGCGGCTTCGATGCCGCGCGTGCGCGCCCGGCAGCCCGACACAGCGCGTACTGCGTTCACAGACCATATTGCTCGACACCAACGAGCATCGATGCAACACAGCCTCTCTGCAAAGCCCTGTGGAGAAACCTCTCGCTTCGCGGAGCACCATTCGACTCAGCCTTATACCCTAGCGTGGCGACATCTTACCGCATCGTGGAGCACCACTACACAGCTACCCTTCCCATCAGCCACCCGCCATTGCGTAACGTCCATCCCTGGCAGTACCGGCCGCACCCCTCCAGCACTGTCCTGACAAGGGGTTGGTCACTGCCGCTTCGACGCAACGCGTGCAGGCCTGTGTCCTGACACAGTGCGTGCAGCTGTGGGACCATAGCTGGTGCACATGCGAGCTTACGCATTGCGACTTTTATGCGCGCCTGTTTTCACACACCTTTACGCAAACGAGCGTCGACGCAACACAGCCTCTCTGCGGAGCCGTGTGCGCAATCTGACCGCAACGGTGCTCCTCTTGAGCCTTCTTGTGCTCTCTGGCTTTGTTGGTTTTATCCACGATTGACGAACGTTCCTGAAACACCGGAGACAGTCCCTCACCAGAAAAGGTCCCGACAACTACCCGGTGCGTCTCTATCTTTCGTGTTTCCCCGCTCAAGTTGGTGGCGTGTTTTCCATAAAGCTCCAGCAGTGGGGGCGGGGTGCCGTGAGGAAAGGCAAGTGTACAAATAATTTTGACTGCGGAAGTTGGGACGAAACTCGATTTCTTCTTCTTTACCGTTCTGCACACTTAAAATTATCATTGATCAAAGGAAGTTTAGTGTGCAAAACTTCCGTGTTACGGACTTGAGCGTGGAAACACGAAAGGTAGAGACGGACCGAGTAGCTGTCGGGACCTTTTCTGGTGAGGGACTGTCTCCGGTGTTTCAGGAACGTGCCCCTTGGTCAATCATGGATGAAACCAACAAAGCCAGAGAGCACAAGAAGGCATAAGAAGGCTCAAGAGGAACTCCGTTGCGGTCAGAATTGCGCCACACGGCTCTGCAGAGAGGCTGCGTTGCGTCGATGCTCGTTTGTGTCTAGGTGTGTGAAAACAGGCGCGCGTAAAAGTCGCAATGCGTAAACGCTCGCATGTGTACCAGCTATGGTCCCACAGCTGCACGCACTGTGTCAGGATTACAGGCCTGCACGCGTTGCGTCGAAGCCGCAGTGACTCAGTGACCAACCCCCTTGTAAGGATAGTGCTGGAGGGGTGCGGCCGGTACTGACAGGGATGGACGTCACACTATGGTGGGTGTGCTCCACGATGCGGTAAGATTTCGCCACGCTAGGGTATGAGGCTGAGTCGAATGGTGTTCCGCGACGCGAGGGGTTTCTCCACAGGGCTTTGCAAAAAGGCTGCGTTGCATCGATGCTCGTTGGTGTCGAGCAATATGGTCTGTGAACGCAGTATGCGCTGTGTTAGGCTGCCGGGCGCGCACGCGCGGCATCGAAGCTGCATTGCACGACCTCATTGCGCAGGGTTCGGCCAGCGTCGTACTGCTGTGATTGCTAAGCGCATGACTTCACCTTATGGTGCGATGGCGTGTCCAGAATGCTAGTTGCGCAGGGTTCGTGCTGTATTGCGCAACCTCATGGCCAGCGTCGTACTGCTGTGACTGTTAAGCGCATGACTTCACCTTATGTCCAGAACTTAGTAGTGCTGGCGACGAGGGGAGGGGACGGGGAGGGGGGGAGGGGAGGGGGGGGGGGAAAGAGTGACTAGGGCGTACACGGTAGAGGTGCAGACCGCTAGTGTCTTTTGCTCACGCAGAGTCTTATCCTTTTTCTCTTGAGCCTTATGGCAGTCAAGCATGGACACACTAGATAGGCCAATGGAGTGGAACCTGTACAAGTATGCCTATACATTTCAACAGGCACAAAATTCATGTCCACTCCTGCCTATTGCGTATGTCGCATACTCTTTTCTACCGCAAGGCTAAGGCAGTCCAGCAGCTCTAATGCTTAAAAGGAAACCACGGTGCCTTGTACTTACCAATTCTAGTATGTTTCATACTATAGAAAAGGTAATCTCAAGGTCTACTAAATACAGTGAGGGAGCAATAGCTGACTCACCTCAACTACAAGGTCAACGACGATGTATCTCGGCTGGAGACTGTATTGTTCAACCGGCGAAGATACCGTATACCGGCGCTCAATAGCCCTTGAAAAGCTAGAGCTTAAAAGAAACTTAAATTCAAGGGAAAGCGGCTTTCTTACACAGAGACCTGTAAAAGCAGTAAACGACACTCGCGTAACGAAGAACTAAAAATTCAAGACCGCACAAATTGCAATGAATTAGGATGCCTTGCAAAATGCAAGGAGCGTCAACTCTCGGCCCGAGGAATGTTCTTCTCTACAAGTGGTCTCGGCCGCTTCCATACACTGCATCAAAAGGACTCTTTCTCATTGACACCAAAAACAAAAAGGAAGGAGACACCGGCAAATGTATGTACAAAACTTGCACTACAAATGCAAACTTATGAAATGACTTAATCATCAACCATGAATGGTTGTCCATTAGAGGTCACCTCAGAAAAAGCGGCTGTGATAGATATCATCAGTTATGCAAAACTGTCCATACCTATCTGCATGCTAAAGCGTATAAACCTGGAATGCAGGAGTATCTTCTTTGACAAAAAGTTTCTCCTTGTTGCAAACCAGAGTTCATTAAAACTTTAGCCTGGCAACTTAAAGTCAAGCTTGGAAGCAAAGTATCAACTGTAATCAGAAGTATCTTCACTTCCTAGCTATCATTAAAAGTTAGCCTCCGCTCTGAATTCATGCCGCTGCAGTCGATGAAGCTGCTTGATCAGAAGTTGGCGGCCTACCTTTCCTTTTATTCTCTTTCTGTCTCTCCTTCCTCCGCAGTTTCGCCTCATGAAGAGTTGCTCCCATGCGATACTGTCTTCTGTCTCCAGATGAAAAGGAAGCTGGTCTGAGTGAAATAAACATTGGACCATGACTGTCCTCGTCAGTGGGCCTTGAGCACATAACCTCCGTGTCAATCATAGCAAAGTTCTCTGAAAAATTACAGATGAACTCCTTCGTGCTCACTGTGGAATTTTCATATTCCTCTTCACTCATCGAATGACCCCATTCAACAATGGTAGACAAACATGTATCTCCAAGCTGTGATCCCTGGTATTCTTCTTTCTCTACTGTGGAGTAATCTTCCCAGAGTTTATCAAAGTAATCTTCACACTGCTTTAGGACAAGTGAAGTTGAACTGTAAAATGTTCTGGGAATAGGTGCTTTGATACCAGGATCTGCTTTTACACGGGCTTCTGAA